AAAAAGGATTATGCATATATATGAAATAACATTGTTTTGAAGACAGCCGGATAATATAATTAGCCTATGCAATATTTTTAATTTTCACTAAAAAGCATTTTTGATACATCACCGACAAATTAGCACTAAGCTCATTCGTGCTTTAACAAATTTTTACATTTTTAATATTTGAAAAAAATTCAGCAGCAGGTCTTAGCAAGCTGATCACCACAAAATGAGGTGCTGTATTTCCAAATAAACTTTCAGCTTTTATGCTCATTAGGTGCAAGCCATATTTATTTCAAAATTCATTGCGTTTTACAAATTTTATAGAAGTTACAACATCAATGACTTTTGTGTTATTACAATATTTACAGAATGTATTTTTGCAAAATTTAAACAAGATTTGCAGAGATTTGTTTTGAATCTGTGAATACAGTAACTAGCCATGGTTTGAAATAATTTTAACAGTGCTGATATAATGTAAACATAGAATTTCTGTGTTAAAAGATAGAATTTCTGTGTTACAATGGGAGCTGAGAGGAGATTAAACCGAATTGCAAAAGTTACTGTTCAATATAAGATAGTCAATGAGAATTTGTTTTTTCCTTCGAAGTATTTTTCTCTTTATTAATTGCAAAAAAAATCCTCAAACGTTTTATGTTGTTAAGAGTCGCTGGAAATCAAATCTTCTGTTAAAGTGAAGTTAAAAAGTTGGCAGCAGAGGAGTGAAAGCGAGAAAACGACGTGTTCAAGATGAAAGCTTGATGCAAAATAATTTATTTTCAATTCAGAATTGCATCCATTAATTCATAAAACGGTTTAGTTTTCAAATTTGAAATCATTGTTGGCTGAAGCATAATGTAAGTACCTGCATCGTGAGCGTTATGCAAGAATAAAATGGCAAGGATTAATTTTGAAATAATGCGTTTCAGAGCGATTTATTATAAGCAATTGCTATATTTAGGATAGAAATTGGAAAGAATCAAGAAAGCAAGATGAGGGTCTATTGTAAATTAAAGTTAATGTTTATATATTTATAATTTTTATTTTACACATACATAAACGCACACTTCCATATATATATATATACGGAATGTGTATGTATACGTAAGATATATGATATAATGATTACTTGACTCGTATATCCACCAATATTTCAGTTCATACATTAAGAGGAAAATTCACAATGAAACCTTGCAAATATTCGATTTTATTAACAACTGCAAAGTGTTCAAAATTAATGAATTTGAATTCTTTCAAAAACAGTTCTTCTAAATGTTTGGTGGATCAATATTTCGAGAATCTAGCTATTTTTTGTGCAAAATGGGTTTGAGATCACGAAAACGAAATCCGATTAAAGATATCTAGATTGCTATGGGAAGACTAATACGTTAAATGCAATACAAGGTTTCGTATTAGCTCCAGAATCCCAGAAAACAAGCCTGTACAATAAGGAAGATTTCCTCCTAAATTCTAATCCATAACTTTAATGCCATTCTCTCATTCCAAGTGTTCATACAGCCATGTTATAAGGTTTATTTGGTTAAAATAAATTCACTAAAATTTAAAAGAATATATTGATATCTTTACATTAATATATGCAAACGTCATAGTTCGTGCGTGTGAATATCATTGAGTTGCATCAAAGAGTTTTGTGTTGCAGATATGCCCAAAGCGTCAAGTGTGAAGCGATTTTTGGTCTAACTCAAAGAAGCTGCCATGTATGTTGTGAGGGCTTGACATATAGATTTTATTGTGGAAGCAATTTGTGTGTTAGTTTTCCCTGCAACGTGGTGTAGCAGCATGCAACGCCTCTAGTCACTTGCATGTGGCCGCATACACTCATTTTTTAATAATTATTAAAAATATTTTTTAAATTGTTTGCATTCTAATATTTTTAATCAAACAACCTGATATTCCTATACGCGTTCTTTAGTTTGAGAGTGAAAGTATTCTCCTTTTGTATCTCCATCCGTAGTCATTAATTATCTTGAGTCTATGAGTTACCTTTATTTTTGAAATATATGTACTTATTTTCCCCCATGTGCACAGGGCCGCCATTACCTCTGATCTCAGAGCACTGCAATTCAATGACGTCTGTCTTTAGTAGATTCATTTATATTTTTAGAATTTAAAAATTTCTTTTTTTTTGGTTGTTTTATGTATTTTTGAAGAAGCTTTTAAAATGTCTAAACTTGATAAGGTCTACATTACTATATAATATAATGCAGCTCCCAAATTCCTATAATGTCCTTCATCAAATTTTTGGCCTCCTACACCTAGTTTATATCATAGCCATTTTTTTCCAAGCAAAATTTTCTTTGATACTTGACTGACCGGATGACGCCAGAATGGTTCTTGCCCGAAAAATGTATAGAATTATGATAACACTCTGGCAATGGAATCTTATTGCTGGATAGGATACTGTTCAAGAAACAAAGTTGGTCGAATTTGAAGTAAAACAAAGAAATTCATATTCAATAGGGGGAAAACCCAACTATACAAAGCGTCTTTCAGGTAAGTCCAGATTGACATATTGAAACACAAAAATAACGAGCAGTAAGAACTATCCAGTAGTGACAATGAAAACATGAAAAATGATTATTAATCAGTAATGAGTGTAAAAGGTGAAAGAAATCTTTAAGTGTTGCTAATTTTCCTGTTGTGATTTTTTGTATACATTGCTGCACAAATGTTACAAATGATCCCAAATTTGCCCTGAACATTCTTGGTTTTCAGCAGTTTTTTTCTATAAGCAGGTCAATGGGTTGCTTCTAGGTTTTTTTAGGCTGTGTTTAGTAGACATCGAGCCAGTTGAAGATATAGTGGTTTGGAGTACCTTCCTCATTATAGTAACATAAGTATCTGTCATTAGGTCTAAATTGGGAAGATAAGTAGAGAAGAGACCATGGCCCTGAAGAATTTAGTTGTGTGGAGTGAGATCTGTCAACAGATCAGTGAGATCTTGGAAAAAAGATCATTCTACCTGCGGCTTGGTCTAGCAGTACGAATCAGCTCCGTAATAAGATGCGAATAGCTGCTTGAACCAGTGGACTTCTGCTTTGTGCGCCATTTTCGGAAAATTTGGTCACGGAATTGCTGCATAAAATAATGTTGCATCGCAAGGTTTTGGGCTTATTAAATAGCAACATGGAATACAATGAGGTCAGCCTGAAATACAATATTTTCGGAAACTCAAGACGATATCTTCTTCCGTTTTCAAGGTATGTATAAATGCTAAAAATATCCCTATATCCAAACGTAAAGCAATAATTTTTTTTACTCATCACTGGCTAAGAGGCTACGACCTCTGAACACTAACACAATTCGAGGTTTGAGTTCCAGAGAATGGGCTGACCTGCATTAGTATTTTCTGGATTTTATCTGCATGATAAACACTAGCCAGTTTCATTTAGAAATTCCTCCACGAGAGTATCCATCTCTCAGGTAGAAACCTTTGTGTGCTTAGCCTTAACCAATTAACATCGTTATCTTTCTTTAAACTGATTATGACTTCGCATTTACACCAAACTTATAAAATTTTAATGATATATACTGTACCATGATCTCATGGCAAAGAAAACATCCACCTCACTTCAAATCCATATTAAATTATGGATGTAAATATTGCCGATGTTTGCATTAATCACGACTCAATTGATATGTAATTTTTCCAAATAGGATTGGATAACCTCTGCTATCCTGAAACCGTAGGATAATATATGGAAAGAATTTGATTATCTGTATTATTGCATAACATGAAATACAAGAAAAGACAAAATACTGCAGGCTCCAATAAAATATATTAGTAATAAACTAAAATAATATCTTTCATTGAGATTAGAGGCGATTAGTACTGTAAAAAGTTTTTCTATAGGAAAACGTTTCGTGTATTGTTGCCAGCCTGGATTAAAAATAATTGTGAATTCTCAAATATATGTATTTTAGAGAAATTTTAAGCCTACTTGACATTTCCGAATTAAATTTTATTTTCGAGCTCTATAGTTTTGAAGCATTAAAATTAAATTGAAATCAGAGTGGACGGTTATATGACAGTACTTTTAATGTTTGAACTCTAAAAAAGATATTTTCTTTTTATTCTCTATCGTAAGAAACTTTACATAGTATCTGTTGCAGAGCTTAAATTGCGCCGGAGCCCACCGGAACCCGGCTCCAGTACTTCTTAGTTTTTAGGACATATTCTAATTCTAGCCGGAGCGCACCGGAGTCCTAAAAGGCTCCGGCACTTTTTTATGTAACTGAACAATTATTTCAGTAGAAATTTGTTCTAGAAAGTTTTATTTTTAGCAATAAAATTATATGAAAGTCGCTTATTAAATTTTAACTTATCTCTACATTTTATTTAATTTTAATTATTTAATTACTTCAATTTTTAATTATTTTAATGAATAATAATTCATTAATTATGAATAATTATTAATTAATTTGATACTCACTGACTATTTAATTTTTTTAATTATTAATGATTTTAATAGTCATTTTATTTATTTATTTTACTCGTTCTTTCCTGACTGTCTTCCATAGGGCTCCTGTACTTCTACTTTTAGAAATTAAGCCCTGATCTGTTGCAGTTGTGAAAACAAATAGATTCGGCATGTTAATTAAGCATAATTCAGAAATCAAGTATTCGTGCAAAAATATGGTCGGGCACATTATGCTTAAATCTTCATTTAAAACTATCTTACATTGATAAGAAATACAAGAAGTGTTATTTAATAAAGTCATAAGTTAATATTTCTGTTACTCCTATAATTTTCTTCCTAGTAAATTACAAACAAAAAGAAAATTGTACGTGGAATTTACGTGCACAGAGTAAGCGTATTTTTAGCTTCCTAGTAGAGCAATACATTTTGACGTTTGTATATACTCCCTTTGAATGCTAATAAAAAAAATGACGGTCACATGACGTAGGCGTTGATTCAACCTACAGGTAGTGCGTGTCGCTTAAACCACGTGTCTAGCCTTATCGTGCGCATGCGCCTCCCATTTTGAATCTCGATTCCAAACATTGCAGGTTGAAAAGAGTAAACACTGGGATACGTACACAGAAATAATGAATTCCTAACTCCAGTTTTTCATGTGTCTACTCTTCCATAGTATACTGACCTGGTTTGTTTTGGGAAAAAGGTGATCAGATTATTAAATCATGAAAAACATGAGGTGTGGTGTCCTGCGCGTCACCGTATTGTTTCCAAGTTCGCCGTGTTAATTCTTTTTTTCACACTTTGTTTTCTGGATGAACTTCCTAATGGTGGAATTATTTTTAATGAAGCAAAAATTTTCAGTGCTGGAAGCAGTAAAAAGTAGCATCTCCCAGGATGTAGCACAATAACAAACTGCATTGGACGTGACTGTTTTCTGCAATTTCCTTGTTTTTTCAAGGATTATAGTTCAAGTATTTCGATACAGATTTAGCAGGAATTTCGCATACTATCAATAAGTAAGTATTATAACAAAACTTCCTACTGTAAAAACATTTATTTTACAATTATAGAATATTTAACAAATCATTATACAGTTACTTTAATTTTGCTGATCGAAATGTACCTTCTGATATCATCGAAAGTGTCAGAAAGTTTTAAAATTAAGGAAAACTCAACTTTAGATTAATTTAAAATTGAGAATGGTTTCGTGGGATCTGAAGTAGTACTTTGCTTAGTTTGTAGATCAGAAGGCTTGTGTTGCATGTATTGACTGCAGAAAAGTCCTTTCCTCTAGTCATTGAAAAGAACAAAATATAATTAAAACATGTATTAGGATATTCAACGAAATGATTTACTTTTGATATTAAAATTTTATAACCATATACATAAATTATAAACCATATATATATTAGATTTAACCTATAACGTATAACCAAATTATGTAACCATATACATGGTTAAAAGTTTAGGAGAATTTCATAATACATGAGATTTCCATCGCAATTAAAATAGTTGTTGGGATCTGGTATCTAGAATTATTAAAATATTTTAACAAATTTTCTGTTTTAAATTTATCTTTCCCTTTCCTAATTTCAATAATTTCCTGATATGCATATCTATTATATTTATTATTTATTTGCTTTGTATCTAAACCAAATAATTTAAAACTGTGCAAAAAATTATCTAACGGAAAATAATTTCATAAGTTTCATAGGAGTATAGTAATATTTAATAAGAACATACAAATTTGCTTCTCCAATTAAATAGACGGGCAATGGACCCATCAGAAAATCGATAACATTTTATAGAGAAATATATCGACAAAAATGATAGAAAAAGATTATTTTTATATTTTAATAAATAGATATATATTTTTATATTTGGATATAAAAATTTATAATCAAATTTTCAAAACTTTTCGTAACTTATTATTACAGATATTTAAAAAATTAAACAATTAAGATTTAAATCATAATATCTAAAAGAATGAATATGAGCGTTTAACCAGAAAAGTTTAAACGCTTGTATCATGTAAATGCTATATCACCTATAAATGTATTTACTTTATAAAATTATTACAATTTGAATTATCTCATTGATAAGACTTTCATACAAAGTATATAAACACTATTATAAACTAGATTTTATTTTTAAATATAAATTACTAAGTCTGTTAGAAAGATATAAGGCGAGGTAACGATTTAATATTTGAAACTGCATCATCACGAGTTCAGTTTTAAATAACAGGAAAACGAACTGAAGTCTGAAAATTTACCATACATTTTACTGTTCACTACAGTACTGCTTCTTACTGCTTCTGCTTTTTTTTGTCACGGATAAATTCTTACGAAACATTCAGAGTGTTGTAATTTTTAATGAATTAGCTTAGAACATGACCAAAGGTCTTGTTAAACTTCAAACAAGACTAATATAGCATAATTATTTTCTTGTAGAAATAGATGCAGCTCCTGTTTTATTACACATTTTATATTATATATTGTTTATTTATAACAATAATAATATAAAAATTGCTAAAGAGCGTTATTGTATTCATCTCCTTTGATAAGGCAAAATTTTCAAATCCTTCTCTATACAAATCATTGTTTCAAGAGTGTTTAACAACACTCCTCTTTTGTTCGAATTTAGTTTTGTTTACATGTATAAAAATTTTTGTTTTATGTGCCATTTTACATCATGCAGGTAAAAAATCTTTGATTATCCCCAGCATATTACTTTTCCTACCTAATTATACATGCTAATGAGGGAATTTATCGTTGTAACGTAGTTTGTATTAAGTTTAACTGATGTTTAATTGAAGTCTCAGCTCTACATGCCGTAAGCTCCCTTTAAATGTTACAAGAAAGTTTAAATTTTTTACATACTATAAAACGATATATCGAGTTACAAAAACATATCAGATACTATAAGAGTACTATAACGCTTTAGCTTTCATTTTAAAGACTATGTTAAAAATATGCTGTATCCAATTTTTTTAAATGTCTGCAAAACTCTTAAGGTTCCACTGTATTATATTACGTTGCTACGTTGCCTGCTATTGTGATGCTTTCCCTAAATATTTACCTTAAATTTAATTTCGACGCTACCTTATAAATAGCCATTTCTCTCAAAGTTGCTATTTGGTTAGAGAAAAGATTTTAATTCATGTTTCAGATGACAACTGTAGATGCTAAAGAAACTGAATGATTTAAAATTAATTTACCTACTTAATAGCTTATGCTTTATTTATTTCATATATATGTTGTTAAATCAGTTAAAAGTAAATTGCTAAATCGTAAAAGTAAGTTCATAGACATATAAGAATTCCATTCTATAAATTTTTAAGAATAATATTTTTTAAAAAAATTGCTGTTTCTGTTTTGAAGTTTGTTCTTGCTTCTTTGATTACTGATTTGTTGTTACGACTTCTCTCACTTATCTGAGAGTAATTGTATCGTGGCTAGGAACTCAGGATAGGGCCTGTCGTTTGCATGGGTCTTGGGCACCCATATGTGACAATATGTTTTGCCTTGCTCTGTCCCAATTATAAAGAAGAATCCCTCTGGGGACAGATCTTGGAATCTTCCACCCGTCTTATCTTGCCACCAAACCATTCGATAGGACTTACAGCTGACCATGTATTTTTAGTGCCTCCATGCCACAAAGACACTATACACTTAGAAATATCCTAATTTACTCTGAAATTCGTTCCGAGCTAAACGATACGGCAGCTAGCATTGCTGATCACAATACCGATCAGAATTGCTAATTTAATTTACATAACCAAATGGACTTATTCTACAGGTTAAACAGCTTGATAATACAGATAAAATGTAAACAGTATATTCCTGATTTTCCCGTTAATTACAATACAGGTTATTTCTCTTTTCTACTTTTTTTAAACTGCTATCAGATTAATTACTATTTGGGGTTGGTCCCCCAGCACTACTCCGTTCAGTAATCAATAGTCTGCAGTACATCCGTCCGTTCGGAAACGAACTGTAAATATGCATAACAATGCTGTTGTTTAAATAGGCTTTTCAAAATTATATTTTAGTCAATGAAGGATACCTAGAATTTGTTGAATCTTATCTCATTTCATTTGTATTTTATTAAAATATTTAAATATCGCTTTAATATAGTTCAATTGACAACAATGCAATAATTTATAATGTGTGCATGTTTGACAATGTAAGAAGTAGCCATTAAAAATTACGTCAACTTTCACTGCATAATTTTTATCTATTCGCTTAATCATTTTATGTAATCTCAGTCAAGGCCCTTGTTAATGAATTTGAATTTACGACAATGGAAAACTTCGGAATCCTTCGGAAAATATGTTTTAACTCAAATACATTTCGGAAATATTTACCAGTTATTCATTTGTTTTATCGGATTCAGATTTATTTATTAATTCACTGAAAATGAATTCTATGTCACTGTAATTTTTTATATGTTTTTCACAGTAACACGTCCATTCTTAATTCAAAATTGTATATCTCAGTGAAGAAACAATGAAGATTATTATTTTAACTAATAAAGAACGTACACCTCGGGGGTAAGCTTATGGCGTTCGAACAGTTCCGCTATTATTACTCAATAAAACATGTTTTAAATTCGTAATAAGAGAAATATAAACGTGTCAATAATTAATCCACCCATTCAATACTACATTCATAAAAAGTATTTGGTTCTTTTGTTTGCAATTACGATGCATTTCATTCAAAGTTTCGAGGCTTTTACTGGTGTTTAGGATTTTATTATAATAGTCTGCTGAGATAACAGTGTATTGGTAAAATAGGTTTACAGAAAAAAGAAGTGATGAAACACAGGAATACTGGGACAGAAGAGAACTTCTCTTGTGAATGAAATTAATTTTTCTTTCACTGTTAACTTGATGCTAAATGTATGTATATTTGTCAACAAATTCTTTAAGGACTAACTCAGAGAACATTTTGCACTTTTTTCCGTATTTTTCCTAAGTATTTGCTTTTACTTTTTTAAAAAATTTGTATTCTGCATAACAAATTTAAAACTTAAATAAACATAAACTGAAATTATTTGCTTGAAATATTTCATTAGATATAATATTATTATCATGTATTAATAGTAAAACAATGAAGAAGTTCAGTTAATAATTAACATAAAGAAGCAAAAAATTATTATTTTGTTAGGATTAAATTTTACGAAGTTCATGAAATTTCTGAAGTTTTTATTATTTTATTACCTAAGTTAGGCAAGTAATATGCAGTCAGAATATTCTATAAAAATGTTCCTAATTTTTCTGGCTTAGAGAAATGATATCATTATTTCCAAAACTATGCTAGCTCGAAATCATCTATCATTAGACCGCATGATTCTGTAAAATTTCCGGGTTAACTCTTAAGAGTGAAATTTAAATCGCAGCTCTGTTCAGGTATGAAATGAAATTCGATTTAGAAATCGAAAATAATACCTTGTAAGCAGCCAACAAAATATGTCGGAAGCAAAACTAATTCGATAAATCTGAGTATGGTAAAACATGACCGGATTACGCCTGGAGCTTAAGTCAGAATCAAAACGTTCATGGTTCAGTAACTTCCTGATAATTCCTTTTTCGGTTGTTTTTCATTTCTTACTTAAGAGTTTCGTTCAGAAATTATATATATGAATTCATAGATTATATAGGATTGCTTTTTTTCTATAATTAGTAATGATAAAAAGTTGCATATTGTATGGGATAATAAAAATATTTTTCTACACATCCTTAATCATTCGATATTTTTTGTTGTTCCCATTGAGATACCAAGCACGTGTACTGAAGAGTTAATTTATATTCTGTGAATTATGTATTGAATTATTCAGATTATGGCAAAGCAGTCGAGAGCAATAAGCCTAGAAAAAGGGATGCATTCATGGAGGACTTTCTAAGGGAAACTGACTCATATTTCGTTACTCTTGGGAAAACCACGAAAATTCTCAAGCAGGCAGCTCGTTCATCAGGATTTGAATTCAGGTCGATCTACCAGTATTCAGCTAT